CACTCGGCGCCCTGAGCTTTGGAGTACACTGTGTTTAAAATACAGTTGACAGTCACTCTGAAGCACTCGGCATCCATTTGCAAGCTCTGGGGTCGCGACCTTCCATTGCTTCTTTGTTGTGGTTCAGCTGAAGTGCATAGCAGGTTGCCTTTGTTATTGAAACAAAGTTGAATGTATTAAATGACTGCCTTTGATGCCCTTTTTTGCTTTGTGGCCACTGTTATGGTGTACAAAGAGCGGTGACTTCATATTATAAATGTCTTCCCCCCTCTGTTTTCCACAAGAAAATGAGAGAATGAATTGCGGCCTTTATGGCATTTGGTTAAGTATTATTGTTATTAGTTTTGATTAAGATGAGGTATTTCTGCATTGAGGTTTTTCTTCCATTAGCACAAAAGCACAGAGGCCTGCTATCAGCTTTATGGTTCTGGTAAACAATAGCGGGTAGCACAGCAGGGGCCTAACCTGTAAACTCTGATGTAGTCAAGATACAGAAGTTAATTTCCATGCAGACGTCCTGCGAGCAAGTAGCTCAACTGAATAGTACCGTCAAAAAGATTTAGTAATATGACTTCCATGTTTTTCAATGGGAATTCTACTGGAGTTACAAGAGAACATGGGAAAACTGTGATAAACATTAACCAATTTTTCAACATGAAATACATGAAAGGTAGCTCAGTTCCGAAGCTGACCTCGCCTGACTACTATGACTACTGCAGGCGCCTGCCACTGGTTCACTTAGGTTAAAAAATGCTACTAATTGCAGCTTGTTTTCTCTCCACACTAACTGACATATCTGTTAATGTCAATAAACAAGCATATATTTTACCAGCATTGGAAAACCTAAGGAAGTGACAACCAGAAATGGAAGCATAATACATGTGCAGTAACTTTGGAAGAAATCTCATGATATACTTAAACATTTTAGCCTGTAATCTGTTTCTGGCTCTCTGTGACAGCTCTGTCCCCACATACTTCAAGTTTTCTTTTAACAAATTCTGTAATGCTCTAATGATGTCAAGTTGCTGACCTATTTCACTCAACACTGATGTTCAAGTTCTTTTTATACCGCTGCTTTAACCTTCTACCACAATTAGCAATGTTGTCACTTCCTAGTGATGTCACTCAGCCAGCCTTTCCATTCACCAGTACTTTGATTACGTCACTGACAGACATTTTAACTATTTCGTATCGGAGCTCTGCTGTCAAAATGGTTTTATGTTTCTGTCATGTGTTTTTATTGGGCATTTTGTTCTTCCTCATGTCTTTGTGTGTTCTTTCACATCTTGCTACATACAGACTTGTAGCAGATTTATTTTTATTTTTTAACATCAATTTTTTTGTGTGTCTTCCTTAAAATTCAGTCTTTTTCTGTGCTTTTTTTTTTGCTCCCTTTTCGGTGCTTCTCCTGTCCCTGAAGTAAACTTGGGCACTCTTGAAGCTTTTATTATATAGTTTGACTGGATTCAGACTTCAGTGAGGATATGTGGCTGTTAAATGGAGCCTTTTGAAAGGAATAATAGTCACCTTTGTTACTTTGACTTTATTTATTATATTCTTTCCTGTCGACTACCATGGACTTCTCTACCATCTTAAAACATCCAGATTTTCATTTTCCCTGATCTCTGAACCTGAATTGCAACCTACTTTTTCATTCATCTGGAAACAATCAACTGCATATGTGGTATTCAGATGTAAAAGTTATGTTGTCATATTCGACTAGCCGGCCAACACTGTAAACGGGTGGCATTTGGATGATGTGACATTTGCTTCCGCATATTAGCCTTCCTCTAGCCAAGCTGTTCTGAGTTACACTGACAGAAATAGAGGTCAGAAGTCGTACAGATGCACTCTGATATGATTGGCACTTGGGAGACTCATGGTTTCACACTTTGGGGATTATCCTTCATTTTCCAGAACGTTCTGCCTGGAGACTCCGAGGGGATGACCTCATGATTGGCCGATGGGGGTTGGGGAGGAGCGGGTTGTGTGTATGTGTGTGTAGTCGCACGTTCATGATCATGATCAACTAAGTCCAGAGAAAGATTGCATTGGGATCTGGAAACAGCGCTTCAGTGCAGCTATTATATAATATAATAGAAAGTAATGGTTGGAAAAGGGGATTTCAGCTGGGAGCAGGCCTGCAGCTACAGTGCATGTTTGTATTCTGAATTTATTGCCCTCAGTCAATGAATAAATTGGCGAAAGGTTAAAGCATATAGACTTCAGAGCCGTAGGTTTATGTTTTCTGTGTATACCTGCTCTGTTTTTCAGTGAGTAAGCACAATGGGGATATAACTAAGCCTAGAAACACAGGAAGAAATCCACTTATGTGCTTTAAAACTATAGCTGAGATCAAACCCCCGGGAAAGCAACTGACTTCATGTGTGTTTATGTGTACATGTTTGTGAATGCACTGATTGCTTGCATTAATTCAAACTATATGAAGAACTGCTCTCTGCTGAGGTATGTTTTCTCATTGTCTCCTTTCCTCTACGCCCCCGATTGTGTTCCCCATTATCCGTTATTCCACTTGTAAGCACATCTAAATATAGACCAAGAATTTGCTTAGGGGGCACTCTCTTAGTAGTGGTGCTTAAAGAGAAGACGGGGTATTTGCTGTAATTGTAAATGCATGTGTACTGCCTAAGCTTGGGAAGAGAGACATAGAGGCATAAAGAGTATCTGGCAGTTTCTCCTGGCTCTTGCTCTTTCCCAGCTGCTGTGCAGCTTATTTGTCCCTTCCAACGTGGGGCGCTCCTCGGAGTGGACGTCTTGCCTTTGCTGAATACCTTTTCAAATACCGCCTTACCTCAATATAAGTTTCATCCGCTTAACACAACACACATGGAGACAGGTCCAGGCCCTTTTCTGCCTTCTGTCCCCTCCCCAGTGCTTGGAAAATCTTACATTTCTTCAGAAAAGAAGTACACACATCCTGTCCTCATTAGACCAGGGAAAGGAGAGGGGTCTGGCAGGGCCGATCCTATGGAAGCCCCACACATGAGCCTGGACGAACAGAACAGGCAGGCGGGCAGGCATGCCGCAGCGTTTTATATGGCTCTTGTTCTTAGCCTTTGATGACACTGTTTAGAATAGGAAATATCTAATAAGTCAAGTATTCTGTCTAATGTGCTGCCAGTGAGTTTAGTATTTGCCTGGAGGTCTTGAAACACTATCTCCGCCACAGCAATAATATACATTTAAAATTCTCATGGAGTGGGTGGTAGCGAGCGATGTAGAGAGAGAGCGAGGGGGGGCAGCTGAGAGTACATGCTGTAATAGCAACCATGTGCAGGTTGGAGAAGACGAGGGTGGGATAGGGTGGGACATACCTTGGGTCTGTCCAAAACTCTCTTTCTGTATGTATTTTTCAATTCATCATAATCATGTCTTAAAAGACAGCAGTAGCTAATTGAAACCGACATTGTACCCATTAACATGGATGAGAAACATGAGGGAAAGGCCTCAATAGCGAGCTAACAGCGTTGGACATGTTGATTAATCGGCCCAAGTCTCATCATGATGCACCTGATAAGCCTACAAGAGTTTTTAATTGATGTGATGCAGTGGTTGAATAAACTGAAATGACCTTACATATTTACATGGGCCCTCCTTTTCTTTTTATACACTTTTACTTGTGTCTTTCTGTCTGTCTCAGAGAAAAGAGGGAGTGGGGGAGCTTTTGTGGGGGTGGTTTGAAGTGTTTTTTTCTCAGCATCTTCTAAATATTTTCCATGCGCTTGGGAAATTTTTGAAAAGTAAACGCTTCTGTTTATTCCAGCCTTTTTTACCCACACGTATCAGTTCTATATAAACATATCCAGTAATTTATTATCTGGTAGGTAGCATTTAGTTTTATGTTTGTCTCGTTTCTGTCCCATGGGAGCCAGTGGCGGCTTCTTTATAGTCTTGAAGATGGCATGCTTTGGTAGCAGAATAAAGATGCCTGTTTTCATTGTCGCTTGAAACCCAGCAACCTACTCACATTGATTTATATCATCTGTCACTGAAAGCTTTTTATTGCCACAACGGCTGGAACTCTCCCGACATCCTTTAGTTGGGGCCAAGCATAAAATCTCGGCTGCTTTATACACAATACCACAGTCACTGCACGAAACAATTCGATTTGCTGGGGTGAGGCCCCTTTTTTAAAGACATTTCCAATATTGCAAGAAGTGCAAAATGATTTTAAGACCGCAGAAAAAGTCCCAAAGCATGCCTTTAATGTCCCTGTGGCTATACAATGCTCTTCTTCTTTGGTCAATTTGTCTATGGTTTCAATCAAGCGAATTATTTGGTATGCGTCCACTTGTTAAGTCTGAAACTAAACAAGAAACAAACTTTGCAAAAAAAACAACAAACGTTCTCATCCATTTTATGATGCATCTCGGGAATTCTAACACAGCATCTTGGTTTGGTTTGAGATAAAGCAGTTTGTTATAATGCAAATTGAATTCTCATGTTCATCAAGTTTATCAAGTTGTTGCACATGTTTTTGTGTAGTTACACAGGTAGCAGCTGTCCTTCAGTGTGATTGTGATTGTGATTCCATATGTATTTAGGGTGATATTGACACTGTAGCGGGGCACTGTACTGTAACTGTAAATGGTCATGAGATTCGTGTGGGCTGTTATTAATTTAGACAAAACTAATTTGATAGAGCCATATTACATTATCTAGAGACTTTTTGTACCTTTGGAACAGGTATTTACTGACTTATTCAGTAAGTTGTGTATGAAAAAAACGTGTGTGCAAACTGCATTAGCCACTTTTTATAATAAAGTACAGTCACACATTTTTACCAGAAACAAAAACTTAATGTACTGATAAATGATAAATGGTGGCCTACTGCTAGATGTTCATTCTGTCTTCTTTTTCAATTTTATTATTGTTCTTAAAAAAAATCACTATTTGCTCTTATAGAAAAAACACCACTTCTTGGCTCAAATCTGGATCAGTGTGAACACAGCCTTACCTTTAACTATTTCTGTGTGCAGGTGCGTCGATGCGAGCAGAAGCGCGGCACTCGAGATCCTGCGGCAGGTGTCGACTCCTCATCTCGTCACAGCGGTACTGGCCAGGACAGCGGCTTTGGCAGCGACAGCGCACGCATTCGCATTGTCCAAATTGAGCAGCAGAGCGGGGCCAGCCACCACTGCATCGCTAGGCCATCACACAAGTCCACCATCACCAAGAACCTCAGCTTCATTCCTTTCGACATCTTTCTCACAGCTAGTAGGCTGTCTGTCATGACCTACGCTTGCTCCAGTCCCCCTAAGGCCCTTTCCTCATCGTTAGACGCCCCCAGCACACCCGAGAAGAAGGAGCCCGGGGATAAGGTAAACAAAAAGCCTGTGACATGGAAGCTCTCTTATGAGTCAGTTCCTGGATTTGTCAGTTGTCCATGTGTGTATAATTATTCATACCATACACATTAGTAAGATGTGTCCTTTATGTGTGCATTGTATTGGTACAAAGGATTACTATTACACAGTTTTCAAATCAGCTTTATAATTTGGAATTACTTTGTGATTGATGAGTCATTTCATACAGTCCAAATTCATATAACTGAATTTAATCCAACATAATGATGTGTTTCATACTGTAACATGGATTTACACTGTCATTGCTCTACTCCCTTCAACTGCCCACCCAGCTAATTAAATACTATAAATGTGTATGTGTGACTATTAAAAAGCTGCTCTTTACACTGTTTATGTGATTTAGGCAGATACCAAACTGAAAGAATTATTGGCTCTGTCCCACACAAAAAAGAAAAACAAACACATAAATAACTGTTTTCATCCCTGGTCATAAGAATGTCTATTTGCTCACATCTACACAGAGTGACCATTTTATTGTGTTTAATGAACTGAATTGATTCGATGTATATGGATAAGGTCAACAGAATCTGTATAAACTGCATGGTGCTGCTAAGTTATGATGGAGAAAAACTACCTAGTAATGTTTCCATGTTTCTTATTGAATCAATGCCACAAATAACTGCAGTGAATTTTGAGTAAAATGAGGCTTGACATGAATAACACTCGATAAATAATCTGTCTGCATCTACTTCAGGTGGGAAAGAGTGCCCTAAACCAGCCTGAGATCCTGTCTGAGTCTCCTCCAGCCTCTGCCTCCCCAACACCAGACCCAGGTCCAGCTGCCCAGGGTTCCCTCGCTGGCCTGACTGCTGAGGACATCCTCAACAGCAACACCTCCCAGCCGGCCTCCCCGCTGCTGAGAGGCAGCTTGCTCTCCCTGGACGGCCTGCCAACTCCCAGCCGCTCTTCAGCTCGCCAAGCGCTGGGTGTGACCATAGTGAGGCAGCCAGGGAGAAGAGGGGCTGGAGACCAGGTGCTGGAACCTCTCCTGTACCTCCAGGTGATGCAACCTTCTGCTCTGCTCAGCTGCCACCACCGCAAGCAGAGGATGGAGCTGTCTGTCTTTGACGTGGCCCTAAGAGGAGTAGCTTCTGACTACAAGTGTCTAGGTAAGAGGAATTAGGAGAGGAGGAGGGATAAGTTTAAAGAGGTACTGAATGGATCCTGGGCAGGATTTGGATCTTTTGAGTCGGATTTTAACACAATTTCTTTGTCTATCCTATTCTCTTTCTTTCCCCATTCCCCTTTTCTCATCCCTTTTCTCTTTCTTAATCTCTTCATCTTCCGTCCAGACCCAGGAAAGACTCTGCCAGAGTCTCTGGACTACAATGTGTTTTGGCTGCAGACAGTAGCGGGAGAGGTGGACAATAAAACGGGCATCCCTCCTCCTCTGCTTTGCCTCCAGATCAAAGATTTCCTCAATGGACCAGGTGGGGATTATGCACACACAAACACACTGCACACATGCAACTTATGCACACTCACGCTAACATGCTCGTTTACTATTTTAAAGCATCCGTTTTACATTTAACCGCATTTTAGGGGAAATGTCTACCGCTGTGAAGCAGTGAGAGGAGCACACAGACACGCACACACTAAACAAACACATACAAGAGGCAAACACAAAGGTCTACTTTTCTGCTGTGCACAGATGACTAGCAGTCTAAATGACATTGATATTACTCACTTTGAACAGCAGACTACACGCTCCTGTGGATTTTAGTGTGTGTGTAACGTCCGGCTCCTGTGGATTTGCCTTTCTCAGGGTTTGGGTGTCTATTTTTAGACCGATATGATATCCATATGAGCTTTAAGCTAAGGTTGTTGACCTAAGGGTGTGTCTGACATCCTACCCAAACAAAACAGCAATGAATACAAAGCGTGAGTGGGCTTTTGAGTGTATGAGTGTGTGTGCAACCTTGTTATCCCTATGAGGGTTTCATGAAGAGTGTGTGTAGGCGCAGGACATCCTTCAGAGTTCATCTCTCTGAACCCCAGCAGGCCAGATGCTGCAGATGCACACACACACACACTGACATCCAGTTACAGACATACTTTGACATATAGTCTGACTTTCTTCCACATGCATACAATCATGAACACTGTGCATGTATACAGAGAGCAGCTTCGGCCTGAACTGTAGGTGTTATTGATGATGGTTTGGGGAAGCATGTAGCCCTCGCCCCCTCACGCATCCCTTCCTGCCATCAACAGAAAGCCCTCAGCTTCTCTGCCCACCTGTAATCACACAACACAACACAATGGAGTTCTCTGTACAACACAGCAGTCACACACTACAGCCGCACGCCACCGATGTCCATCTTACCCCTCTGCTCGTTCCAGATGACGCCAGCGAGCATGAGCTTTTCACGAGGCATGAATTACATCAGAACTTCAGTCAGGTTTTGAGCTTATATGGTGAATATGATTTCTTTCTTATGGGGAGTCACTGTATACACGAGAGGCAGGTTGGTGTAGTGAGTAAAGAGAGGCCGTCCTTCAACGTAGTGAGTACATACTGACCCCTGATCTCCCTTTGGAGAGGAGCAAGAAAAAACGGCAGTAGAGGCAGTGTCCTTTCCGTTTCCAAAGATTAAATAAATATTTAAATAGATTTAGGTTCACATGGTTTATTTATATATTAGAAATTGCATAATGTTCAATGTTGATTTTACAACTTTAATGTAATTTATTGTAATGTATTAAGAGGATGTTTCACGGTTTTACTGAACAGGGTTACTGCCTGTCATATCTCTAAAGATAATTACATTATGTTGTGGTTACATCTGATTCTGGTGTTTAGCTGAAGCGCAGCTGTCGACATTGTGCAATTACAGTCAGGTGTTTCCCTTGAACTAGTAAAGAGCAGAGCTATCCTCGTCTCAGTAGGATAACTTCAATCATAATCACTCATTCTCCTTACATACGCACACATATAAACAACACCCTCCCGAATGACTCAGACAGGATCCAGGCTCAGTGTGAGGTTGCCCCAGGTCAGGCTCTGCTGGAAATATCTAGAATTGACCACACATGCTACTGGTTCCCCTTAACCCCTTCACCCACACAGTCAAAAACACACAGGCACACACACATTTTCATCTGTGTGGTGTTTGGTTAGATGACTGGTGGCGATATTTTGCCTCTTCAGGGATGGGGGAGCAAAGGAAGTTAAAAAGAGCAGGAGAATCAGTGCAGTGACGCTGACTTTGTGGAATACTAGGGTTGAACGAGTACTTGGCTGAAACAATTGTCCGGTATGGACAATGTACTTTTTATGTGTATAAGTACAGTGAAAAGTGTTAATATTGTCTTCTAATATTAAATATAGCAACTTTCTGATTCTGACTTAAAAAATATTTCTCTCGCACACTGTCCATTCCGAGTACGAATATAAATACATATCATTTAGTTGGTTGAACAGATACAGATACAGATTATGGTGCACTTGTTTCCTGTTGTTTAGGCAGTACATAAAGACAAACAGGAATAATTTTCGAGTCTGAAATATCTGTCAGTCTAAACGTAAGCCTTAGCATCATTAGCAAGAAGGTTTAGTGAGTTCTTTAGCTGGCATGCCTCAGTTGAGTTTAATTGTTTGAGTTTACCTACTTTAAATGTGAAGTAGTGCAAAGAATAATAAAGGAGAGGTTGATGATAGATGGATGAAGACAGGTTTTGGAAGAAAAATAGCATCCAGCATTTTATCTATCCATGCTCTAGTGTTTTCACAGATGGTTTATTTGCATGTGCAAGTCGCTGTGTGTGTCTATGCCGCAGTGTGTATGTATCATATCTGGCGGCTATACTTTGATTCGACAATGTTTCACATTTGATTTATTTCAACGAGGCGCAAACGGAGAGCAGACCGCCGCGAGGCCACGTCTTGCTGTGTGTTTACAGCAATATGCTCGCAATTTCAGCAGCATTTATTCTGCAAGACCAATCAAAGCTGCCCTCCCAAGGATGCCGAGTGGGAAACACTTGTAACATGTGTACTGTAAACTGGATGGTGTTTCAGCACTGACCCTCACTCAGCAGCCGCTCATCACACACACACACACACATACATATAAACATGACTAATGTGGATACATACAGGCACATTTTTCAGAAGAGGGTTCAAGGCTTCACCAGCAAACACAAAAAAGCCGGGGTGGGTATTTTTTATTTTTTTTTTCAACATGAGCAGGGTTCAATGATTGACCAGCGAACACACGAACACACGCACAATACACTTTCCATCCCTCCTCCTCTCATCTTTCCTGCTCAATTCCAGTCTTTGAGAGGGTCAGTGAGTGAGTCCAGAGATGTAACTGCTTCCACTTGGAGAGGAGAGAAGCAACAGGTGATAGATTAGCTAGAACAAATTGGAACCATTACTCTCCTGTGTCCCTGGTTCCCGTCAAGCTATGGGTTCGTAGAAATGCTGTCAGTTACTGTATACAAGCCTGTGCCCCTCCGAACCGTCCAGAACCGCTATAATTTGAGTCAGATGGCATCTGAGACATATGTCACTGGCCTTACTTGGTATGCAGCTTTTTTTTTGTGACAGTGGGATTCTACAGATACCCCTCAAAAAGTGATTGGCCCTTACAAACACAGATATACACACATACCCTTAACATACAGACCCTGTGTAATTGGACACATTGCCACCTGTGTCTGACACAGGCTCTCTGCTGTCAAGAGTCAAGCGTAAAAGTCAGCTAGAGAAATCAAAGGTGGGGTCGGAATGAAAACAATGTTCTTGGTGGTTGCACACACACACACATACACCCAACACCAGGTTCAAAGTGGGGACGGCGTCATGCATGACCTCGCCAAAAAGGCACAGTAACCTGGGTAATAAGCATATTTGATCTCCCCCACCCCTCTGCGGAGATATATACGTGTGTGTATGTGCCTCTGTCAGACCTTGATCTCCCACTTTCTCCAGTGCTAATAGAGGCTGACACCTGAGAAGGGCCAGTCTATGATTCCCCCCAGCCTGTTCACATTAAGTCCTGTTCTTTAAAGGTATGTGAACACCAACACCATCTCTCAACCTCTAGGCTTGTTACTCACTCCTTGCCTGGGCCTTCCACTGACAGTCTCCCACTTAAAATAGCTGTTAGTCTCACAGCTGAAACCAAGGTGTTCCCAATAAAAACACACAGATGTGTAATAATGCCACTGTTGAAAAGCCATCTTTTGACTCCCCGCACTTGGCATTGGAAGTGCCACCAAATTTCTTTTAATAATTCATATTTTCTCCCTTTTTAAAAAATCCCTGTGGTCTTTCGTTGCCCTCCTAAAACAGAAGCACATTTGAAAACAGTGTTAAGTAAGATGGCAATTTGTATTCTCAGTTCTTCACATTATGGTGTTAAAGAGGTGAGGCAGTGTATTTGGTTGAGAGAAGTCTTTATCATAGTGCCGCGTTACATCTTAATCCATAAATATAGGTTTTTGCAGCTTAGTCTGTAAAACGTATAAGTCTGTCATGGCTTGTAAATAGTTTTTGTTTTATTTTTTCTTTTCCTGTTGTGAGGTTTTAGGTTCCTCGTTTTATGCCTTCTTTGCCTGGATAGTGAAACCACATGGAACATCACTGTAAAGTCTCACACACATTCCCATATCAGCTCCAGAGACACAACCGAACGTAGGGAAATGACACTGATGTACTCGCCTTGAAGCCATATAATGCTGTGATACGATTTTATTTGAATTCTTCAAAAGATTCATCTTTTGACATTGCGCCACTGCAATAAAAATGTGCTCCATGTGTTGCAGGATAAAGCCGGGGGAAACTGAACATATGCTATGTTCCCCTTCCTTTCCAGGGTCCTACATTGGGTGTTCTATCCGAGTTCCCGCAATTTAAAATCCAGATACACTCAACCATTTGACAGAGATTTTCTCTGACTGAACTGTCAATTCCTTAAGGAGTTCATAAATTTAGAAGCGATAAGTGTGTCTGTCAGCTGAACTACAATTTGTTACATGTCTAAAGTCATTTAATGGGGTGCATTATGATTGAACTAAATGAGCTGCAGATTGTACTTCATTCTTTTTTCCCCATTTATCATAAATATTGTCAGTAAAAGTAGTTTTGGACAACAAACCTAAATCGTTTTGAAGGAAATTCTAATCTCTTTACTTGCATGATGTGAAGTTAACAAGGAGTTGCAGGGAATATAATTGCTGCATCATTGTCTGCTCTGCTCCTTGAGTTATCAAAACAAGTGGTTGCATGAATGTTAAAAGCTGGTAGCTCAGTTCATAGGAAGAGACAACTCCTGCAACCATGTAAAGATAAGGTCTTGACTCAGTGTTTCCTGGTTCCTCCAAATATGTGAAACAATGTTGTGCTACATAATGTATATTTGAGTCTGCACTCATTCACGTTTTTTTTTTATACAGTTTGCACATTAAACCTTTTGCTCATGTCCCACATCAATTAAAAGTTACATGAAGTATTAATAAATTGGGGTTAAAGCAAGCTGTATCCATAGCACTGCTCACTCAGTTCAGTTGAGTTTCTGATTCAACAGGTAATACATCCCTTACCGTCACACCACAACTGGCTGGGTGTCAGGGATAGGATGGGTTTTTCATTGAGGAGGAAAAGAGGGACCCCGGGAGGGAGGACAATCGATAATAAGGACCAGGGCTCCCTGTACAGAGAGCCACGCAAAGGCCCCAGCGCTGGCCCTGACTGGGTGATCAGAGACAGCTGTATGTGATTACAGAGGGGGGAGGGGTTGATTAGATTGAGGGGTGGAGGAAGAGTAAAAGATAGAAAGGATTGAGAAAGAAGCAAAAGGATGGGCTACATGAGAACAGAGGGAGGAAGAGGGGAGGGCAAGCAGAGGAACCTGGACAAACAGCTGCATACAGGCTATTTATTCCACCACTGGAAAGTTTCCTGGTGATAAGTCAAGTGGAAATGATAAGCTACATTGCACAGCAAATTCCACCTATCTTTCCTCCAATTCCTCTCTCCAGCCATCCTTCCATTCGTCCATGTGCCTCACTTCCACTGGATTAAATGAGAGAGAATCCTGAGGGCAGAGTCTGTGGTGTGTGTGTTTGTGTGTGTGTGTGCGTGTGTGTGTGCATGCGTGCTCGCCTGCATGGCTGTCCTGGCAGCTCTCCTCCTCATGTCATCCAGTGCTCCTACCTGGGAAGGAGACAGACGGGAGGCCTAAAACCCTTAAAAACCCTCCAAACACTGGTGCCTTGATGAGACCATGAAAAACAGCTGCGCTTGTTTTCGGCTGCTTCCCTCTCCCATCATCATGACCAAGTGGAAAAATAGGATAATGGAAGTGGTGTAAAACGGCATTGAGTTAATTCATGTGTCTCTGTAAATTCCAGTCAAGTGTTTGAAGGCTGCAGTGCAGCAGAGAGCGAGAGAGAGGTAGAACAGGAGACCAGAGGAGTCTTGGATTTATGTGGCTGGCATGAAGGAAAGATTCTCTTCTGCTATTCTGCAGTGTCACGTCAGGATGTTACAGTGAGACAGCCAGTAATTGTGTGTGTGCATATATATGTGCATATAAGACAAGTAGAAAGAGATTGAGACTAAAGCCAGCTGTTCTTTAACAGGTCCTTGCATGCAAAGCTGAGTGATTAGAAGAGGAGAAAAGAGTTCAAAGTTTGATTTACGAGACGTGGAACCATGCAGTATTCCGTGGGTTAGATAACAACAGATCTTGCTCAGTGGGACACTGGTGAAACCTGTCTTTTCTTAAAACCCCCAAGTGGATTTTGTCCAGTTTATGTGGGTTTCCAAATAACAAGAGTAGGTTTTTAAAAAGCAAGGGTTCCAGCCAACAGTGAATTTATTCAATTTGTTTAAGAGGCTCTGCTTTAGCGCTGAGGGAGACTAAACACTCTGTCACTAGATTGCTAATCATAAAAGAAACATATAAAATATGCATTTCCCATTCACAAATACAAACAGAACCCCAGAGAGACCCAGGCAGAGTGTGTTTAGTACTCAGTGTACTTCTGCCATAAGGTAGCTTTGTTTTTTTCTTAACAATAAAGTTTTTATTACCTGCCCAAAAGCATTGCTCTCTTTACTTCCTGCCCTGTTTTCTTTTTCATTCAGCACTTTATAAATATAAGTCAGGATGAGCACAGGGGATACTCCTCAATTTTAAGAGAGACTACTTAGAAACTAGATGAAGTTTGAGAGACATTTTTCTATTTAGTCTCTGCTTATTATTTATCATCTTCTCCTTTCCCTCCATTTTATTTCTTTCTATCTCTCACAGCTGAGCTGAATGTGGAACTATCACGCCCCCTGAAAGTCAACCCCACACTGGCGAAGCTGGAGCAGGCCAAAGCCTACCTGAACAAAGTCCTACCACACCAAACATGGGATGCCTCCAGTAAACCGCCGTCTGCTTCCTCCACCCCTCACTCCACCCCCACGAAGACACTGCCCAGGGCCTTTCCTTCTCGTTCAGACCCACACCATCAGGCCTCGGCCCTGGGTAAAGCCAGCAGTGTCAGGGCCCTTGCGCTGTCCTTTCACAAGGTCTCTCTCCACACTGCCCAAATTGTAGTGGTCATGGAGACAGAGGCTCATCCAATGAGGCCCAGCGTGACAGTGACCGTGTCGGCCATGACAGGAAGTGTGAACATAAAGTCAGGGCCAAGGATAGAAGGTGAGTATTTTTTTTTTTCTTTTTTGCAGAAACTGAAAAATAAGATTGAACATAAGTACAAGGAGCACACAAGCACTGCATCATAGGTGCAGAAACACACATATATACATGTTCTATACGTTTTAAGTAAGTTCAATGGGGAAAAAGAACTGGAAACCATTGTTTCACAAGCTCTCTACAGCTAAGTTTTGTATTGTGTATGTGTGTTGTATTGGTTTCTGATGCTTCAGACTTCATTTTTTCTTTTCTCCAGTCCCCTACTGAGCTCAGTAAACGGCCCGTGTATAACTCCAAAGTAACAAGGGCCTGGACCGTAAATGAGTCATTCTTTTCTTCATGTGAAAAGTGAAAAACATCAAACCAGTGATGTGATCTTATTATTCTGCCGTATTTCAAGATACTGCCACTTGTTTAAAAGAAATTCCTGAAACAGGTGGAGCTGCATTGGAAACAACTGTCATGACTTCACTCCATTTGGCAGGTTTTATCATCTTTTAAAGAAACCACAATTTTAAGACTCAGTAATACACTACACTAAAGTACATGCTTTTTTTTGTGGTGTGTCATTTGTCTAGTACCCAAGCTCACAATGTGAGCCAACAGGAACCGGTCCAGGTCCTTTGAAAATAAAGTACAGTTACACAGAGATTCAAATATCCAACACAAAAATGTAGTGGAGAACAAATTGTTCTGTTTCATATCATTATGTAACCAAACAAATATTGATGTGGACCAACTCCAAAGAGCTATACCCAGTGCACCCCACACTTATGTTTGTTATTCATTCAGATTAAAACCTAACTGACATGTTCTAACATGTTCCCTCAGGAATGTGTTTAATTAAACAGCCCTTTGTATAAAGAGAATATGTAAAAATCCATTCTAATACCGCAGTGAGTGAGTCTGTGGTATCTGATTATTTATTGATCAGTATCCCACTGCATAACGCTTACTCAAACTTTCCACTTTCCACCCTTGTTTATTGAAAAATATGTGATGTCTCAGCCTTTTTTGAAAGATCTGTCATTCACTCACACTGGGAAAGGCTGGGAACCAAAGAACCAATATTCTTTTCAGTATTATTTGGAATATTGTTTTTTTTTTACACATGCTAGCAAAGCCCTCATCTGCCAAAAACAAGGTTTGTCAGTAAACTGTAAAGTGAGATGTTTGTGTTAGTCTTGGACCTAAAGTTGTTGTGAGACTGTGTGTGTATTTGATTGCATGGGTATGTGTGTATTAGAGCCTGAGAGAGAAAGATATTTTTATGCGTTGTATGTGTGTGTGTGTGTGTAAGCAAGATGTTTGCTTTCGTGTTAGGCCCAAACCCTGCCTTCATCAACACTGACTATTATCCAGGAGGCATCACAGTGTTTCCATTATGACAATCAGAACTGCTAATGCTAATGTAAATTAAAAAGCTTCCAATTTCTCTGTGCCGTTGGGTGTGAGCGGACGCACTGTAACAGATGATCAGGGATTTTTGGTTTGTTTTTTTGGCATGTCTTCTAAATTGGACAGCAGATGGAAACAGAAGGATAAAAGAGAGTGGGGGGCTGACATGCCACATGCAGTAGATATAACAAGAAACACTCTTGACTCATATTTTTGCGAGTAGATGTTTTGTACCTCAGTACTGCTGAGCAACATGTCCCCTGTTGACTCAAGTTGCAGAGGGACGAGGACAGAGCTGGAACTGGGCTCCCTAAGTGCCTGCATCTGTTTGACAGATGTTGTTATATAGGGTTACTTCAGATAAAATGATTGTCGAAAATGTTAATTAAAACCTCAAACAATTTGCACTTTGTTTACTCAAATCTGCATAACTGCACAGTGACACAATACTCAGCGCTGCTGCCCTGCTCTGATTTTCACCAGCTTTTCAGCTTTCATCCATCTTTGATGTGTTGACTTCGATAAACACAGTTGAAACTGTGTGTGCAGTGCAATGGAAAAAGAAATCACGTTTAGAGACAATTGAACTAATATGAAAGCTAATCCCCTCCTATGCACTTTGCTTTCAAACGACTTCTATTTATAGTGATTGCTCTTTCTCTGCACATAGTACTACTTTTCTTAGTAATTTGTTAATAGTAGTTATTTGATTTGTTTACAGTAAACACAGGAAATAGAGATTAGTGTGCAGTGAGCTGTTTTTTTTCATGGATATTGTTTTTCCCACAATTACCAGTACCTTGAATCAGAGCCACCGCTGCTCTCAAGACATTACAGTTTGACTGGACACAAATAAAAATGTTGGGATCAGGACCACTGGTGTTTATTGACATCCATTGGATCATTCATCCCCTGTCTGAACTCTTTGAAATACTGTTTGTTGTCACGGCCCAAAAAACATAACATCATGTATGTCTGTTCTGAACAAGACATTATAATAACTGCCATAAAACTAATGCTGTCATCATGTGCAGCAAAGGTTTCATTCAGCTCCTCGTATATCACGTTTGAGTGCTCTCTGAAATACCTGAGAGGTTTAAGATCCTCTATGTAGATCTCATTATAGGCCCTGATATTTCATGTCTTTGCCTCGTCTCTGAAAGCACACTGAAACTGTGCGGAGTAACACCTGTAAATGTTGCCAGTGGAGGATTACATGGCACAAAATGCCCACAAAGATTATCATGGACATGACATGGGAAAAGGAATGTTAAAGCTAATGTCTTGCTGAATAACATGTCTGTCTCACCCAGTTGTTTCTTTTCTTATTCTCTTGATAACTTTAGCACTCTTATAGATCTTTGTCACAACACACACTGCTATTTTCCCTGAGGGCTTCTTCACATAGTGTTTCCAGATTTGTTGCCATCGAAAGGAGACAAACTGTCTCCAATTACGCTGACTGATCACTGGTGACAATAGATGTATCTGCTGACTTTTAGCCTTAGCTGCACCACCTCCATCACTCAGCACTCCGGCCTCTCCAGTCTACTCCGTACCTCAGAAAATGGATACCTTGGAATTTTACAAAGATAAAGGTTAGGATTCCCGTTCTGTTAGGTCGAGCGCTTGAGCTGCCACAATAAGTCAGCGCCAATGACCCCCCTGGGAGAGCCTGTACATGAGAGATGTAAGACAGGAGAATGTAGTATTACTACCGCTACAGTATGTACCACTACTGTTGCTGCTGCTGCTGCTGTTGCTCTGCTGGTCCTCAGTGGCAGGCTGAGATTGATGGACCACATCCTGAGCAGACTTCAGGATGATGCGAGTGTGCAAGGAGAAACAAGAGAGGGAGGAAGAGGTAAGGGAAGAGTTTTGAAAGAGGGGAAGCAGGAGGGTGAGAGATAGAGAAGTGGAGGTAGAGAAAAAATGGGGACGTAGTGACAGAAATCTGAGAGGTGGGAAGGAGGAGTCAGATAAAAGAAGTCCTAAGAAAAAACATGAATAAACAAAGAGAAAAATACAGATTGATTAGAAACAGGATACAGCACAGGAAAGGAAATAAGTTAGTGAGTAGAAGTAGGACAAAAGAGCAGGGGAGAAAGCACATAAAGGCAGAAGGAAGGTGGAGGAAGAAAGAAGACATAATGCAGACAGGCAGACTACTATGTGTGAGCAGTAACAGGGGTCTCTTCAGTATATGCCATTACACTCACCCCACCCCACCCTGTCTTCATCAGCATACATCCATAGCTGCAGCGGGGTGAAGACCCTGATATCCGCCCCCCTCATCCATGGAACATCTGGGGCTCTGTACCTGGTCATGGCAGCCCCCTCTCTGCCAGGGGACAAGATGGAGAGAGAGGGGATTAGGTTGACAGTGAGGTGTGTTACCAGATCCTGTGTTAATGAAAAGCAAGTGGAAGCCCCGCATTCCTCCCTCCATCCACGGCTCACCACTCCCCAAGGTAGGGGGGCATTTATAGTTCAATGAAAGAAAGGAGGGAGCAAGAGAGAGAGAACATATGTCTTAAGGTCCATGAAACAAGACCCTCCCTAATCTCTCAGCTCTCTGTCAGACTGCCCATAGAGTGCCCCCGATTTCCTAAGAACACACACACATAGGTATCGACAGACCCTGCTGCTAGTGCACGCTTTTTCATATGCATACATACACACACGAAGCTTTCTCCTCGGCCCTTTGCCCCTGTGGCCCCCTGGCTTCTTCACGGTGATTTACTCCAGCACACTTGTAAAGGAAAACTTCTGTTGGTGGAACAAAGTGAAAGCCACCCATTATTTATTTATGTCTCCTCATTTTTTCTTTTTTCAAGTTTTATTTTCTGTCCCTTGCCAATCTTTGAATTACGATCATGTCAGTTTGTTTACTCTGCTGAAAGAAAGCCACTCTTTTCCATTTATCATATTATTTCTGTTTCAATAGTCAGGGAGAAGCCGAGGTAAGCAAAGCCAAACTTTTGAGAAGATTTATATTTGGAAATACTCCCCGCTGTGATTTGGCATATTAACCCAACTCATAAATAGTTTTCAATACATTAATAATAGAAATATATTACAGAGAGGACATGGGAGGGGAGGGGGGCTGTCCAGCAAGGTAGATGTTGATACACACGGCTGCTGGGTCAAGATGAAGATGTACAGGTATTGCTGGTCGGAGACATGACGTGTAAGAAAGCTGTGAGATTGTTAAAATCAAATATCAGAGACAAACATAAACAAAAGTTTGCAGTCTTTTTTGAACAGTAGTCTTTGTTAAATGTTCAAAAATCCTATTCTGTGGGACATTGGTGGCTCTCAGCATGGAGCCGTGTTGAGCTAACAGACCCTGGGTGGGAACTTCTAATCTGTGTGGAAAAAGTCCCATTACAGTTTCCTACAGCTGAAAGATAGCTTCATCAGATTTCTTTCTATGTCCAACCATCATCCCCTAAACATATCAATACACTATCATAAAACTGATTTACTAACTCTTTCAATTTGGAAGAGAATATTTTGTAGACTGTGTAGCTTCAAAAATTACTTCAAGAATTAATCCATTATCAAAATAGTTGCCCGTTATCTACTAATTGCTTAATGGGCTG